CTTTCTGATGGAATCTGATAGTTCTTATAGAGTTCTTTCACTTTTTTTTTTACTCTCAAATTTCTCTTCCATCTGACTCATTTCTAGATGTCTATCTTTGATATTACAAATTCTTCCCTCCACTTAGTCTGCTTTATGTTCTAAGCTCGCTAGTTCATTCTCCGTCTCTTTTATTGAGTTCTTCAGCTACAGTATTTGTTTGGCTCTTTCTCTATAGTTGTTACCTCTTCAGTAAAATAGTCCTTTTTGTTCACTGATTTTATTTCTGAGTTTGTGAATTGCCTGAGTTCTCTTGTATCTTGTTGGGCTTTTCAGAACTGCAGTCTTGAATATTCTGACATTTAAATCACATATTTCCATGACTTTAAGTTCTTTTCTAGAGGTTTTAAGATTTTTTTTGGATTTCCTTTGTTATTTTGGTTATTCATTGTGTTTAATGGGTTAATTCTCTGCTCTTGCATTTGCATAATTGTAAACTGCTTTTAAAAAGAATTAAATGTAGAGGTATTTGTTTTCCAGTAGGTGGCGCTGAAGCAGTAGTTCTTATTTCTCTTACCTCTATTGCAGGGGTTGCCTGGATCTCTTGGGGCAGTGCCCCTAAACCAGGGGTGGGCAAACTTTTTGACTCAAGGGCCACAATGGGTTCTTAAACTGGACCGGATGGCCGGAACAAAAGCATGGATGGAGTGTTTGTGTGAACTAATATAAATTCAAAGTAAACATCATTACATAAAAGGGTACGGTCTTTTTTTTTTTTTTTAGTTTTATTCATTTCAAACGGGCCGGATCCGGCTCGCGGGCCGTAGTTTGCCCACGGCTGCTAAACTGTGCAGACCTCTCCTCGTTCCCCAGTAGCTGGGCATCCCCTCCACTACCCTGTCATCTCAGACTCAGGGAACCCCTCCCATGGATCCGCAGAGGAGGCTATGGATATTCTGTGTGCTCCGTGTGCCACTCCCTGTAGTCAGAGTGACTCCAGGTTGACTTAGCTGCTTCCACTAGGATGTACCACAGGGGACTGGGATGGTTGGGTGGGGGTAGCTAGTACCTGAATTCCAGTTCTGCTCCTCCTTATGGGCTTAGCAGCAACAATTACAAACTACTTCGCCTGGGTCCCCCCCCCCCAGTTTCAGTGCTTTTACCTTCAGCTTGCTGCCCTGTGAGCTGCAGGGGGATGGAGTGGGCCAATTTCCCATCTGTGGAATCTCGTTCAATTCTAGCAGGCTTTAGAGCACTGATATTTTTTTGCACCATTTCTCTGCCCCTGCCCCTGGGCCCAGTTCTCAGTGTTGCCAGCCACCCATCTAGTCTGTTCCGTGGAGATGCACCCCAGCTCTTTACTGCTGAGGTGTCCTCTGGGCCTGCAGGGAAGGCTGGGCTGCAGGAGGTTCCTATCTCTGTCCTCACTCCCAGCCCTGCCTCTGCTGTTCTCCCATATATGCCCCTTCTGATGTCTGTCCAACTTGTGCCTTCCATGGGAGAGACTCGGAGGTCCTATGATGCCACCAGGCTGCCGAGGTCCTTGACCACCTCTTTAATTTTGAAATATTCTTTTACCTATAGAGATGGAATGAAACTCACATGCTAATCTTCTCTATAGAGTTCAGTTTTACCATATGTACTGTCAAAGCAAGCACTATATATTTTTATTATTAGCTTTGCTAGTAAATGCGTCTGCATTTGAATCTTGAAACTGTTATCTACTGGATGGGAAATTTGGGCAAGGTATTTACTACCTCTGATCCTTTATTTTTCTTACTTCTGATTTTAAGTGAATAATTCCAGCCTTAAGAGTTGTACTGATGATTAGATTAAATGCACATACAGGTAATTGGTGCTAAGGTAGTGCTAATTTTTGTAGTTGTTGTTTCTTTATTCAAAATGATATTTTCTTAGCTTACAATGTCCTCTTGTTGCCCTAATTTTACAAGTTTTATTATTCAATGCCAAGTTCAAATGTCAGTTTTTCAAAAATGCTTATGATATACCTCAGGTATCATATCTGTAGTCATAGACTCAAATGTTCTTAATATTTTTCTCCCAGTCCAATGGCATTTTCTATCCTCATTTTATGGCTCTAGGTAATATTTCCTTCTAGGCCATGATATATAAATAAAGAGTCTGTGTTTGACCCATCTTTGCATCTTCCACAGGAACTAAGTGGTTCTCACAAATTTTTGGCACAAGATCTATAATCTTTAACTATACCTCTACCGATACCTATATCCATGTAGGTGTTTATATGTATATGCATATTTCTGCATGTATATGTCCTCCTTTGTTTTTGGCTTTCTCTTTAATATAGTGAATGTGTATGTACACAGAATGAAAATAGAATTTTCTTTCTTTAAAATCTAGGTTTTGCCCTGATTGGTTTTGCTCAGTGGATAGTGCATCGGCCCACAGACTGAAGGGTCCCAGGTTCGATTCCAGTTGCAGGGTTGTTCCCCAATAGGGGGCGTTCAGGGGGCAGTTGATCAGTGTTTCTCTCTGATCAATGTTCCTAACTCTCTATCAGTCTCCCTTCCTCTCTGTAAAAATCAATAAAAATACATTTTTAAAAAATTTAGGATTTGATTACATAAACTACTTTTAATGTAAGCTATCTGAATATAAATTATTTTCAAAAGTTTGATTACAACCAAGATTTTTTATGCTCCGATTATTCACAGTAGTTGTGAACATTTGACTGAAATAAAGCTCAGATGAGCTACAAGAAGATTAATTGACACATGGCTTTTGACAAGCAGTGTCTGTGCAATAGGCTTTCCTTTTCTGTGTTTCATTCATATACTTTGTTTAATTTTCAGATTAGAAAGCCTTATATATTTGAGTATAAATCATAACCAGCTAACCAGTATTCCTAGAGAACTTTGTTTTCTTAAGAATCTTTCTGAACTTCAACTTAACTACAATCAGATCATTTGCATACCTGAAGAGATTAAGTTCTTGAAGAGGCTCCAGAAACTTCTTCTGGCCAGAAACAACATTGAAATTTTGCCAGAGGTAAGCAAAGCATGGGACAAAATTTTCTTTGGTTGGGGAAGAAGTCTCCTTACAGCACGATTCAGGGGGATTGTAGAATGGACATGGGTAGCTGAGTGCACACCATCATTTGCTTTCCTTGTGATTAGATGGAGTCAGCTCCCAAATTCCTGTGACAAAGGATGGTTGTAACTTGTTTTATTTCACATAGTTAAGGATGCCAGGTTAGTAAATACAAATATACGATACTAACTTAAATTTGAATTTCAGATAAGCAATGAATAATTTTTAGTGTATGTTCCAAATACTGCATGGGACATAACTATATGAAAAAAATTCATTGTTTGTTTCAAATTTAAGTGAAGCTTCTATGTTTCATCTGGCAACCCTATATGCTGCACAAAATATAAGTACATGTGGTTTTTGAATATGTGCTAGATAACTTTCATTTTTTTCTTCATATCCACACTTTATCCTTTTTCAACCTACTCTGCATCTGGGAGAAGCACCAGTATCAGCTCCTACATCCTCTGGCTTCCTCTTGGACATGGCCAATTAGAGGCACTAGCAGGAGGTGAAAGGATAGGAGAATGAATATCAGATGGTGTTCCCCTGATACCCTGTCTGATGGGGTGCTATGAGTTTCCTGCACACCTTTTTGGAAAGCTATAGCTAATGTCATGTGATTCTCATATGGGCCATTACCATCTCCCCTTGGCTCCTTAGGCCTATGGTGGTAAAATAACTTCCTGCTGTTTTCCAGCTTTGGGGAACTTTGAGGTTTTAGGGAACTACATTTTGTAGTTTAGGTTTTTCTAAATCCTGTCAAACTTTTATAAATAGTGACTTTACTCAACTCACCTCAGATTTCTCTCTTTGAGAGTACTGTTTCCTGCTAGGAACCTGTCAATGGGTTTACCTTTCCTTCTTATGCAAATTAAAATTAACTTGGTAGGCAGGAATGGATGTCATGCAGTAAATTGAGAGATAACAAAAGCAGGTCAAATCCTGCCTTCATTTTTCTTTCAAGGGAATATTCTCTTTAAAAATTTGGTGTACAGTATAATGTAATATGTGGAAACATACCAAGTTATAGGCTACAAATAAGAATATTTTTTAAAAATTCTATTCTTACATTCTTTAAAAAATCCTAATTTCTATAAACAAGTAAAAATTTCTTTAAATTACAAAATAAATCTATTAAAAGTATAACTCATTTTTTTTGAGGGAAAAGCTTTAACAGCAGCAATATAATCATCGTGCTGAAGCATTATATTATTTAGTGTTTATAACACTTTATGGTGTAGCTCTTTTTATTATATCCAATTTAGAATAAGGAAAAGAGATTATGTGACTTGAACACAACTTGCAAAGATCAGAGAAGAAACTCAAATCCATGTCTCTCTAACTTAAAAGTCCTCTTTCTATCCTATATAATAAAAAAGGTAATATGCAAATTGACCCTAACAGCAGAACCTCTGGGAATGACTGGTCACTATGACACACACTGACCACCAGGGGGCAGATGCTCAATGCAGGAGCTTCCCCCTGGTGGTCAGTGCGCTCCCACAGGGGGAGCTCTGCTCAGCCACAAGCCAGGCAGATGGCTGCCAGCACAGCTGTGGTGGCGGGAGCCTCTCCCGCCTCCTCAGCAGTGCTAAGGATGTCCGCCTGCAGCTTAGGCCTGCTCCCCGCTAGCAAGTGGACATCCCCCAAGGGCTGCCGGGCTGCCAGAGGGATGTCTTACTGCCAGCTTAGGCCCAATCCCCTGGGGAGCGGGCCTAAGCCAGCAGGTGGACATCCCCTGAGGAGTCCCAGACTGCAAGAGGGCACAGGCTGGGCGGAGGGACCTCCCTGAGTGCACAAATTTTTGTGCTCCCGGCCTCTAATAATTTTATAAATCCCAAGGAGTTTAGATTTTAAAGAATTGAAATGCTAGGAAGTCCTATCCTGAATTATTATATAAAGAATGCCTATGATCATTTATGTCCTTGTACATTTAATATGATTCAGTCTATCATTATTTTGTAAATATAAGTGTTAGGTCACCGAAGGAGGAACGCATGAGGCCAGAGTGGTGAGGGATTACGAATGATCATCCGCACACCTGGTGGCTGAGCCTGGATGGCTCCAGCACCCAGTGATGGGAGTCAGTGGCTTTTAAAGGACTTTTGGAGGACTTTCTTCTGGGAGGAGACTTCTTTATGCAAACCCGGAGGGGGAGATAATGGAATGTGGTCACCACAAATGAAATGTGGTCTCAGCAAAGGGACTGTCCATAGTGAAATGACCTGAAAAGCCAGTTAGCTTGATCAAACCTAACAATAAATATTTACAAAAAATACTTGTTTTGTTTATGAAAAAATTAGGAATCATTTTCTGGTACATTATAAATTGTGTGTATATCTTCACATGTGTATGAATGTATATGTCCATCCAGTCACATTAGGCATGTAGATAGAGACCCTAACAGATTTTTCTTTACAGTATAAGGAAAGTGTTCATTTAGCACAGTGCTAAGCAAAAGGGAGATAAGAAATATATGCCAGTGGTAGAATTGTCAATTAGAGACAACTTTCTAAGATTACATCTGTTTTCCGTTTCTCAAAGATTCTTTCCATTGTAATGATAGTAATGTCTACCTACTGCTCACTATGTACTAGGCCCTTTTAAAAACATATTTTTATTGATTTCAGAGAGGGAGTGGGAGAGAGATAGAAATGATGAGAGATAATCATCAATTGGCCCCTCCCACACACCCAAAACTGGGGATCTAGCCTGCAACCGGGCTTGTGCCCCGACATGGTTCATAGGTTGATGCTTAGCCACTGAGCCACACGACTGTGTTGTATTGGGTCCTTTAGTAAGCACTTAGTAATTTATTTAATCCATGCAATAATCACTAAAGTAGGGGCTGCCATTAGCAATTCCATTTTACAAATGGAGAAATTCAAGTACAAAGAGATTAAGAAATTTACCCATAGTAAGTGTCAGAAGTGAGATTTGAACCTACAAATAGCCTAACTCTTGGCCACCATGTTATATTGCCCTGGAGTGGTCAGAGGAAATGGAAAATTCAGAGAATCTGACAATCCAGGATACAGCGATTTTCTTTGGGGAGGATGTAAAAAAGAATTGATCAGGTAATTAGGAAAGATGATCAATACCATCAAGTTCGAACTTAGAAGAAATATTTATGATTCTATGTATCGTACAGATTCTTAAAAAATCTCTCTGTTGTTTTTTTAAACAGGTATTGTGTCATCTTACAAACCTAAGAATCCTAGACATAGCTGGAAATGTCATTCAGATATTTCCAACAGGAGTAAGTAGAGTGGAGTTCTATTATAATGGAAAGACATTTTTGTTTATGCTACTGGGATTAGAACAAAATGAACAACCAGTAGAACCTGTAGTAATTGGAACCTTGAGTTATACAAATGACTCAAATACCTTTTTTTGTTCTAGAATTTCAAAACCTATTGTGGTCCTATTGTCCTTTTGTCCTTCCTTTGTGTTCTGTGCCAGCTGAAGTTGTTGGAACTAAGTGAACTATGATTGCTATCATAAATATTTTAATATATTTGTATGGTTAGTGTTTTTTGTTAGTATATACTATCTTAGGCCACTTAATACTTTTTGAAAATATTATTTTCAAGAGCATACATTTTTTAAAAATATAGTTTTATTGATTTTTAGAGGAGGGGAGAGGGATATAGAGATAGAGACATTGATTGGCTCAATTGGGGCTTTCTCCCATGCACCAAAAGGCTGCCAGTTTGATTCCTGGTCAGGGCACATCCCTGGGCTTGTGGGTGGGATTCCTTTGTAGGAGGAAGCTGATGGATGTTTTGCTATCACATCCATGTTTCTCTCTCTCCCTCTCACTTTCTCTCTCTCTAAAAGTCAATAAAAATCTTTAAAAAAAAAAAAAGCACTGTCATAGCTACAGTTAGTTGTGTTAGAAATGTATTAGTTCTATTATTACCATACTAGAGGCCCGGGGCATGAAATTTGTGCATGGGTACAGTCCCTAGGCCTGGCCTGCCATCAGGGCCATCTTCCCCAGTTGCCAGCAGCCGGCCCCACCTCCCACCGACACCCACCCCTGGTTCCCCATTCGCCATCGGGCGATTGGAGCCTGCTGGCCGGGGGAGGGACCGAGAGGTCGGCCGTTCCCACCCGCTCACCGAACCCACCCCTGCCACGGGTTGCCCTCTGTGTGTGGGGCGACTGGGGGCGGGGGCGGCCTTGGCCTGGTGCTGCCCTCATCCCCTGCCACCCACCCCCGGTTCCCTGTTCACCATCGGACGATGGGAGCCTGCCAGCCAGGGGAAGGGACCCAGAGGTGGTCAGTGCACCTCATAGTGACTGGATTAGGTCCTGCTGTTAAAATACTAATGTGGACTATAAGTCCTAAATAAAGCATTTTAAATCTAATTTTCTTGAAGATGTAGCCTCAGGAGTAAAATTTGTTACTTTGTTGTGAAATGAAGTTTTTGTTTTGTTTTGAAAGTTTCAGCATCTGAAGCTGAAGGAATTCTACTGTGAGGGAAACCCGCTGTTCCTGATGCAGCCTGTTAGTGCTGTCAAGCAGCTGGACGTCCTGAGCCTACAGGTGAAGCCTGAGTCATTCACACAGGCCTCCAAATGAAGCCCTGATTTAAGTTGTAAAGAGCTTTCTTTTAAAGCATTCTAGCCAAATCAGCAAGATTAATGCCACCTAGTCTATTGGCAGTGTGAATCCTAGACATAATCTCTTTGTCTTGCTTATAGAATCTAATGTCATCCTATCTGTTTTCCAGAGTGACTAAATTCAGAAAAATGGAAACCTTTCCCGCTCCCTTTCTGCATTCTCTCATTAGAGAGGTTTTTTTAACCATTTTCGCTGTGTCCTTGGCTGGGGAAGATAATGGTTTGTTAGTTACAAGCTGGCTGCAAACTGGCCACACTGTTTGGCCTTGTTTTAACTTCCCTGTCTCAGTTTCCCTATTCCTCCTGCCCTGGAATCCTGTAACACATGTACCTGTAAGAGGTGTCCGAAAAGGTACTATTGTCATAGCCAGTATATATACTTTATATATACTCACATTTCCAAGTAATAACTTTATATTTTGATGCTATATCTTCCAAAGTAATACATTAGCAGCAAGTAGGAGAAGAATATAAGTAATGGGTAATGTTAAGAGTTGTCAAGAGACACACCGGATGCAACACACATGTTTAGTTCCAGAAATCTTAAATGGAAAAAGTGTACTATGTGAAGTATATATACTTTATATATACTCACATTTCCAAGTAATAACTTTATATTTTGATGCTATATCTTCCAAAGTAATACATTAGCAGCAAGTAGGAGAAGAATATAAGTAATGGGTAATGTTAAGAGTTGTCAAGAGACACACCGGATGCAACACACATGTTTAGTTCCAGAAATCTTAAATGGGAAAAGTGTACTATGTGAACTGTGACCTATTTATAGGTCCCATGTATTTCAGCAAATTCTTCTACCATCTGATATTTTGGGGAGTGAATCTTGTATTAGTTTTCTGAAGCTTCATAGTGAGACTTAGACTTTAATTCTTGTAGCTAAAACTTACTCTAAAATCAACATTTTATTCAGAATCACAAGTTATGCTCTGTGTAAAGAGGTAAAGAGAGGGTGGTAATAGACACGTAACTTATCAGTCCTGGTAATACTAGTTTGAAAGGGTACTTTTTTTTTTTTTTCAGGAAGGATGACCTCAGTTATGTAACCACCCGGGAGAATGAGCTTAAGTGGGTAGAAGGTTATGCTGCTGAAGGATCAGGCATTTAAGGAACCCAAGCCGTGTAAAGGCAGCTTTCCCAGATGCCTGTGAAGTCGAAGGGACAGCGTCATAAGGAACAGGGAGACAGCAATCTATAACATTTTGTTGTTATTTTAAAAATACTTTAATTTGGGTGAATGAGTGACAGATTATATCTGTATCTATATATCTACATCTACATCTATGTAGGTATTCGCAAAGATTCATTTCAGAGCCTAAGATGGACTACTTTAATACTACTAAAAAATCTTTCACTTTGACCAGAAAAAAAAAGTTTCACAAACTAATTCAAATCCATGCAGTGTTTGTGTAACATTTATATAGGACTTCCAGGCTACTGGCACAGACACTGGGGAGGTGGGGACACTTAGTGGAGTAAATCAAATATATTTTTTGTTGTTGCTTGGCCAGTAAGGATTTATTTTTAAGTATTATATA